GCGCTTGCGCTCTTGTATCTGGTGGTAGTAGTCGACCATTTCGCCGTGTACAATGCGTCTAGACGGGGGGGGCTGTTTTAACTTCAAACTGCTTTATAGCAGCTATCTCTCTGGTTGACAAATCTCCTGTGGTGTCGTTAAGGACCTTCGTTATTGCTGCTTCGAAGACAGGATCGTGCACAATGGAGGCGTTTTGTGCAAGGTGATGGCTCATCTCCGGATAGTCCTCCAGAATAGCGTCGAAAGTCCCGCGAGCAGAAGCCACGGTGACATTCTTGTCTTGGAGGCGACACGTAGTGTCGAAGTAGTACCTGATCGACGCGGGCATTCCGTCACGTCTGGCTTTATTTTTTTGAGAGAGCCATTGTAGAGATTGGTGAGGTACACACAGGGAGTGTTTGTGTAGTGGGCCACACCATTACATAAGTAGGTAGATTTATATTACAAAAGTAGGTGCAGCAGCACACGGCTAGCGTGTGCTGAACTGCCGCCATCCTATTGGTTGATATATGGGGAGCCAGACCCATTATCAGCCAATAAGGGGTTGACGTGCATTTGAGTGGTCGGGGCAAGCTGCCCTGGACCTAAATAAAAACAGAATTGATTTTCATTCAGACTAAGCACTTGGATTCACTATCGTGGAACTTACACGCTTCCTCATTATAACGTGTAAGCTAATAACGGACACTCTAGGCCCGTTACACCTGGTAGCACTTTGTAGTCCTTCCCATGACCAAGTTCACAATGAGCCAAGGCCAGACGTCTGAAGCTTCAGGGTCGACCCTGGAGCATGCTGCTTTCCCTCATCTCACTCGTGTCGAGTGGGAAGCCTTTCACCGCCTTGCGGCCGGTGTCCGGTGAGGCTGTTGTCGCGTCGCTGCTGAGCTCAGCGACTCCCGATCAACAACGCTAAGCAGCTCAAGAGTTCATGGAACGCGAGCTCGCCGACGCGAATCCGCAAGCGACAACTCCCTCGCGTTCCTCGAAGAATGACATCGTCAAGTTGGAGACGTCAACCTACTCCGGTGAAGGAGCGAATCGCCTTCCGTTGAATCGCTGGTTTCGCGAAATCGACATCGCTATCGCCTCGAGGATGATCGAGGCGCAAGGAGCGAAAGTTAACTTCTTCCTTTCCCGACTGGCCGGGAAAGCCAAGGAGTGGGCACTCGGCAAACCGGTCGTCAACAACGATGCGTTCTCCACCCTGGAGGCCCTCCAGAGTGATCTTCGTCTCGCCTTCGAGCCTCCACAAGACGAGTCCTGAGTGCGCGCAGAGTTCTTCGCTCTGCGACAAGGCAAGATGTCCATGCGCGACTACGTCCAGAAGACACGCCACCTCGCGTCCTGCATCGTCACCAATCCGATTGACATGGCATCTCAAGTCCACGTCTTTGTGTTCGGCATGCGTGAAGGCATTCGGATTTGGATACTTGGATAAAAAAAAGACGTCATTAAATCTTACAGGAGTCCGCGGTTCCTCAACCGAACGCAATACTTAATCCATTTGTACGGACGAGTCCGAACGAAACTCAAACCATTTACCACGTCACATTAATTGGCATTGTATTTTCTACTGTTACCTCTGCTTTCCAACGCTACGTATTGCACACGCTTCATGTTTCTCTGATCACGTCTTTATTTGCCCTTCGACTTGTTCGCGGCATTCGACTTGTTTTCCTTCTTCTCAACGTTGGGCTTGTCTTCCTTCTTCTCCGACTTACTCTTGGCCGCGTCCGAGCCCTGCTCCTTCGGAGTGCTGTCCGTGCCAGCGTCCGATGCAGCAGACTCGTAGTCGAAGAATCCCGGGGATCCGAGACCGTAGGAGGGGTTGCCATAGCCGTAGCTGTTGCCGTGATCGTAGCCGTAACCGTAGCTAGGGTAGCCATAGGACGAGTAGTAATCTGGGTAGTATCCATAGCCATTTTTGTCACCGTAGCCATGGGACGAGTAGGAATCGGGATAGTATCCGTTGTTATAGTAGCCATCATAACCATAGCCACCGCTGTACGACGAGTAGTAGTCAGGGTAGTAGTCGTAGTCCTTCTTGCCGTATCCCTTGTCATAGCTGTAGTAGTTTTTGCCGTGGCCGTAGTAGTCGTCGTTGTAGTCATCGTAGTCCTTGCCATAGCTCTTGTAGCTGTAGCTGTAGCCAACGCCATAGCCCTTGTAGTCATGGTCGTCGTAGCCGTGGCCCTTCCGTTTGTAGTCATCATGACCATAGTCATCGTGACCATAGTCGTCGTGACCATAGTCGTCGTGGCCATAGTCGTCGCAGCCATAATCGTATTTGCCGTAGCTACTGGTGTACTTGGATGACTCCGTGACCTTGTCGTCCTTGTTGTCCTTGTCTTCTAAGCGGCGACTATAGTGCGAATGGTCTTTGTGGTGGTCGTGGCCGTGGTGCTGCCTATGCCCATGATCGTGCTTACGAGGGTTGCGCCCGGTAGTGCGTGCGTCAGCCGTCTGCAGTATGGAGGCAGCGACGCAAACACCGAGCAACAGGATGATCTTGGAATGCATCTTGAACGGAGATGTTCTTGGGTTGTTTGCCCCTTGTTGCTAGAAGGTGCGGTGGGGGAGGAAGCCATGTAATAATGGGAGAGGGAATAAGTAAGAAGAGCCGTGAACACCCTTAAGA